CCCGATGCTCGCATCCATCCCGCCACGGCAGGGAGATGCTGGCGTCGGGGCGCTCGGCGCTGTCGATGGGGTAGGAGCCCTGGCACTCCCACTCGGCCGCCGCCGGCTCCTGCTCGTCGCTCTCGGAGCCCTGCACCGCGATCTGCGGGACCGGGCTGGCCTTCGCCTTCGGCTCCACGCTGGCCTTGTAGCCACCCTGGAGGGCTACGCCCTGCCCGGCTTCACTCTTGCCGCCCTCTTCGCTTCCCGGCGCCGGCTCCGGCTCATCGAAACTCACTTCTTGGACCGCTTCTTGTTTCTTGAAGGAGTCCCGGCGCTCGGAGAGGTTCAAGCGCCGCATGACCACCATCTCCTGGTCCCGGTCGTGCCTCTCCCCGAGCCGGGAACTGGCAGGGTGATAACCGTGGTCCCCGGGGTGTGCCAGTGCATCGCCCTCCCCGTTGGCCTCCCCATCCAGCGCAGGCATCTCCAGCCCCAGCTTGCGGCTGCCGACGGTTTTCTTCTCCGCCAGGATGGTGACGATTTTCTCAGCCGACTGGACGCGTTTGAGGAGGGGGGAACGGGGACAGTCGGCACTGCGGGGTCGTGAGCTCTGCCGGACGATGGTGGGGGGGGACAGGGTCTTGCCCTGGAAGGAATGGGGGGTTTTGGGGTATCCGGGGAGCGGGGATGGGGAGCGTTGGGGAGAAGGTGGGCGCTGGGTGGAGGAAGGGGTGCAGGCGAGGGGCGAGGGGGGGATGCTGCTGGTGGATTTGCGGCGTCCCACTTTGTAGCGTTGCCCACCCAGTTTGGGTGCCAGCCCGTGCAGGGAGCTGGGGCGCACGTGGCCGGCAGGTGACGTCGGGGTGCTGGAAGAGGGCGAGGTGCTCTGGGGGGACACAGCATCTGCTGCACAAAGAGAAACAGGTCACCGCGAGGGATGGAGGGACACACGGCATCCCCCCGCCGTGGCCTGAGCAAATATCCCCCCCACCCCCCGGCCCTGGTGCGTGTTGGGGGTACCTGGGGGCAGGTCGGGAGCGGGGCTGCGGCAGGGTGTCGTGGGACCCGGGGACAGGCTGTGCGTGGGGGACTCCGGGAGGCTCTCGCTGGAGGACAGCGAGTGATGGAGACCGGAGGAGAAGCTGCGGCTGGTGTGCAGGACTGACGACTGCTTGGAGATCTTCTTGAAAAGGGATTTTCTCCTGGGGGGTTGGGGGGGCAAAGACAAAGGTGGTGGCTACACAAAAAGCCTCAGCTTCTCCTTAAAGCTGGTGGCCACCAGTCTGCCAAGCTGGCAGCAACAGGACCCCCCTGGATCCCCCAGATGGCAGAGCCGGAGCATCCCCCCCAGCTCCAAGGACACCCCAGGACAAAATCCCATTTTATCCCGCCCGGGTTGTACCCACCTGTCCTGGCTGTCCCTTTTCCTGCTCTTCTTACTCCTCCGTGCCATCCTCGTCTTGGAGCTGTTTTTCCGAGCGGGGCCGATTTTAATGGAGGTGTTCTCCAGGGCAGTGGTCCGCAGGGCCACTTTATTCCCGCTCTGAAGGGATGGGAAATGAGTCACTGCAGCCCAAGCACCAGACCCGAAGCAGCTCCCGCCTCAGCGATGCCGGGGAGCCGCTGGATTGATGGGGGGTGCTGGGTGAGCAGAGCGGCGCCGCTCACCCACCTTCAACAGCAGCTCCACCACGTCCCGGTGAACTAAACCCAGCACCGACTCGCCGTTCACGTGTGTGATGAGATCGCCCGCTCTCAGCCCTGCTTCTTGCGCAGGGCTCCCCTCTTCCACGCTCTGCAATCAAAAGACCAAGATTTTCTTTGGCTCTAAGTTCCCTCCTGGGGTTTTCCCATTGGGAAACGCAGCGTCTGGCACCACCGGTCCCTCCCCGCCACGTACCCAGACCATATGGTGAACGGTATAGACGTCGCTGTCCCCCATGTAGACGCGGATGGCTCGCAGGGTGAAGCCGTACTTCTTGCCCGAGCTGTGGATGATGATGGGGGGCCGCAGGCTGGCGATGGCGAGGGATGAGTCTCGGCTTGGGGAGGAATCACGGGAAGAGGGGTTGGACGAGAGGGAGTGGGGGGAGATGGGGCTCATCAGGGCGCCGCCGCCGAAGTCGTCTGCAAGCAGGAGAAGGCGGTTCAGCCCAGAAGAATCACGCAGCGACTGCCATCCGGCAGGATAAACTGCGCGGCACGCGGACCTGAGGTGATGATGAGGGAGAGCGCTGAGACGGAGGCGGATTTGGGGACGCGGCTGCCCGGCGAGGCTCTCTGCCTGTCTGGCACATCCTTCTGGCTGCTCAGCCGACGGCTCCCGCCCGGCTCCAGGCCCCGGGGAGTGGAATTTTTGGTGCCAGTGCTGTTGCTCCGGAGGCGGATGCGGTTCAGGCTGACGAGATCGGCTGCACAGAGGGAAGGAGGGAGAATTTGGGGACGTGGAGAAGCCACTCCATGTCATACGGGACCATGACTGGTCCCAGAGCATCCCACCACAGCACCCACAGCCTACGCACCAGATAGTGCTGCTGGCTTCGCCGCGCCGCCGGTCCCTGCGTCAGGGTCTCCCAGCACAAACTTGGGTCTCTCTGGCTTGGAAAATGCCACGCAAGGGCTTTCATCCTCCGAGGAGAAGGCAAACTTGGGCATGGTGTCCAGGCTGTAGGTGCTGGGCAGCGCGGCGGGGCTGCGGCTTCGCTCATGCCGGGAGGTGTACGGCGTGGAGCTGCAGGACGTCCAGGAGCGGAGCCTGTGTGGGGAGAGCAGGAGGGCTCGGGACAACCACAAATGGGTGAGGGGGGTGGCACCGACCCGCTGCAGCACCCCCAGGCATGTCCCCCCAACAGCTCTGCAAACCCTTGGTGCCAGCACAAACCTTTGACACTGCTACAAACCCTCGATGCCAGCACAAACTTTTGACGCTGGTACAAACCCTTGGTACTGGCACAAAACTTTGATGCCGGCACAAACCCTTGGTGCTAGTACAAACCCTTGGTGCCAGCACAAACCTTTGATGCCAGAACAAACCTTTGGTGCTGGTACAAACCCTCAGTGCTGGCACAAACTCTCGGTGCTGGTACAAACCCTCAGTGCCAGCACAAACCTTTGATGCCGGCACAAACCTTTGGTGCTGGCATAAACCCTCAGTGCTGGCGCAAACCCTCGGTGCTGGCACAAGCCCACATCAGCATTGCATCCCCAGTCTCAGCACGCACCGGGGCTCTGTGCCCGCCAGCCGGCTCCTGTCCTCGTCTCCTGAGTGCCTGTCCCATCGCTCCTCTTTGTCCTCGCTGTGACTGCGGTCAGAGGACGAGAGGCTGAGGTTGGAGTTAGCCGCCAGGAATTCAGAGCTGCTGTACACCTGAGAAGGAGACGAGCTGTCAGCAAGGAGCAGAAATCCAGGCATGCCCATGTGCTCCAGCATCAGCCAGGACACCAAAGCCTGGCACAACTGTGCCAGCCACAGCACCCGTTGTTCTGGATGCTGGAGGAGGAATTGGAGCACCTTGCTGAAGCGATGGGAGCAGGAGGAGAACTGCCCGATCTCCACAGATGATTCCTCGTCGTTGGTCTCTTCATCCTCCGAATCCAAGTGGCGGTATCTCTCGGAGCGAGCTGAAAGCGAGAGCCAGAGCAGGCAGGGCTGTCACCCCGCCTGCAACACACCATGTCCCGCCTGCCCGCCGCGGGACCTGCGCCTGTGGGGAGCTGTGTTGTGGCTGCCAGCCTGGCCCCAAATCCCAGGAGAGTTTTGGGGTGAGAAATTAAGGCTTTAGGTAAGGCTGAGCAGCCTGGAAACAGGATTGCATCTGTTTTGTGACTTTGGTTGTAAAGTGACCAACTTCACCCAGGAGATTTTCATCTCCCGTGGGAGCATCCGACCTGCAGCCGGGATAACGGGTTGGTGGTGCTGCGGGGGGGAAAGGGGATGGATTTGGCCTCACTGTCGAAGTAGCTGGTGTCATCCTCCGACTCCAGCTGGGGGATGAACTCAGCCTTCTGCCGCAGCAAGCCGTTCCAGTCCAGGTGGAGGAAGAAGGAATGGTGCTTCACCTCGTGCGCACCCCCTGCCAGGCAGAAAAACCCACGTCAGGGGGATGGGGCAGGCCCCGGGGTGCTCCCAAACGGCAGCACGGTCTCTCCTCCATGCAGAGCAAATGGCTTAAAACAAGATGGACCAGAGCCCTGTGCTGCCTTCCCAGGATGAACCCCGAGCAGGGGATCTCCTCCGAGCATCCTCAACACAGCAGGACACACTTTGGTTTCAGCGCCATGCAAGCTTGGCCTGCATTGGGGTGTCAGGTCACCCCCCGAGGGCTTGCGGGGGGGCTGTCACGCGTACCGGTGCCCAAGCGCTCGAGGGGACATTGCCTCAGCAACCGCGTGATCAGGTCCTGGGCGTCCGCGGGAAGAGCTTCGTCTCCTTCTGGCCACATAATTTCATCTGCAAGGAAAAAGGAAAAGGAATTTGGAGTGGCTGGAAGAGTTTGGACACGGCAGGAGTTGTGAAGATGAAGGAGAAGACACTTCTGGGCAAGAGAAAAGTCCCTCAGGAGCTGCAGCAGATCCTCAGAAACTGCGAAATCAAAGCTCGAGGAGCCTCCTCACAATCCAGCTGAGTATGAAATGAAGGAATGAAGCTCTCCACGGCTTAAGGATGAGCCATGATTGCCAGGAAGGGTGAACCCAGGAGCAAAGTTGCCACCGACACTCACCACTGATGACCTGCCCGAAGAGCTCCTCAGGGGTGTCCCCAAAGAAGGGGACGCAGCCCACCAGGAACTCGTAGAGGATGATGCCCATGGCCCACCAGTCAACAGGCTTCCCGTAGCCCTGTATGAGGATGACTTCTGGGGCGATGTACTCCGGAGTGCCACACACCTGCGTGGGAAGCAGCAGCTGACACCTCTGCCATGACCTTTGCAACAATTCCCGAGGTGATCCCGGTCCCTGGTGATGGCAGATTGGCCAAGCGGAGCAGGACCTCGTACCTGCTTGTCCATGAATTCCCGCGTGTCCTTCTCCATATGCCCTTCGTAGAGGTTCGTAGTCATGTTCATCAAGCCGATCTTTGACAAACCGAAGTCTGTCAGCTTTATGTGGCCCATGGAGGTGATGAGCAAACTGCAAGAGAAAACAGACACCCCACAACGATGCTGTTTGCTTCTGGGGAGACCTGAGCAGGACCAGCCGGACCCCAGGACCTCTGGTCCTGGTGCAACAGCACAGAACCAGGTCTTTGGGCACCAAAACCCATGACCTCCTTTGTCTTATCCTCTTGGTTTGGATCAGTCCCTTTCGCTTCCCCACCCAAACCCAACCCCATCCTTGCTCAGACCTGACCCATGTCCTCACTTGTCGGGTTTGAGGTCCCGGTGGACGATGCCGTAGTTGTGGAGATACTCCAGTGCAAGAACGGTCTCAGCAAAGTACATCTTCGCCATGTCGACGGGCAGTGGGCCCATGTTCTTCAACAACGTGGCACAATCCCCCCCTGCGGGGACACAGGGAGCTCAGAGAAGGCAGAGAGGTCAGCAGGCAGGGCTACGCTGCCTCTCCTGCCATGCAGGCTCCCAGCCAGAGCCTCCCGTCCCTCCTCAGAGCAGCGCTGATCCCTGGGCATGGGGACAAACACTCTCCTGGGCGAGCATGGCCACCACCTTCATCAACATGAGACTCAGGATCACAAAAGCATCTCCTTGTGCTTCCCCCTGCTCCCTGGAGCAGAGCAGGGCAGAAGATGTCTGTGTGGTGCCCTCTATGCTCAAACATTCATACGCTCCCCTCCTCGTGCGCCACCCAGCCCCGAATCCCGTTCTCACCTTCCACGTACTCCATCACCATGCAGAGGTGTCGCTTCGTCTCGAAGGAGCAGAACATGCTGACCACGAAGGGGTTCTCCGCGAAGGTGAGGATGTCCCTCTCCACGAACACCTGCTGGATCTGGTTCCTCAGGATGAGGTTCTGCTTGTTGATTTTCTTCAAGGCAAAGCGCTGCCGCGTCTCCCTGTGCCTCACCAGGTACACGGCCCTAGGAGAAGTGAAACGGCTGGACCTCAAGGCGTGTCCTCCAACCACTGGGACCAACCACATGGACAGGGAGGACTTTGGAGACGTTTACAGAGAGACAAGTGTTAGGAACTTCCCAACTCACCCGTAAGCCCCGTTGCTGATCAGCTTGATGGTCTCAAAGTCTCCCTCGCAGGGCTTCCTCCGAGGAGCAGTGACCAAAGGCTGGCTCTGAAGAAGACACAGAAGGTTTTTATCACTTACCGGTGTGCCAGCGCTCTGAGTGCAGGCAGGAGTTCACTGAGCACTGTCAGGTATCACCTCCAAATCCTCCGTGGTGCCAGAGGACATCCCTCCCTGAGCCCTCTCCAGCCACAAACCCCAAACCAGAAGACTGAGATGCTCTGCAGATCAAGAGCTCACTCAGCTCTATCCACTCAAGAAGCCAGACGAAGGACTGTGAGATATTACACCTGGATACAGCAGTCACCCTTGGGGACAACCCAAATTAACGTCTCCCAGACTTAAGACAGCAGAGAGGCTGCTTTGAGGAGCTTCGGTGTGGGGTGAGGCAGCAGGTGGGACACGCAGGTAGGGCCACACTCACCTCACAGGCATCATCGTTCTCCGGTGTGATGGTGTTCCCGCTGTCAAAGTGATCCAGCTGGACCATTTCTGCAGAAGACAGAGATGGTTTTCACCTTCTTCATGCTCAACCCCCACCAAAACAACCCCCCACCAACCACTCTCCCTCTAAACTCGGAGATCCGGTGGGGATTTAGCCACACGCTTTGCTCGAGTTATCATATGGAGAAATTCAGGTCACGGCGTTAAGAGGTTCAACCCGAGGTTAAGCATTTATATAATTCTCTTTTTGCCATAGTCATTCCCTGGGTTCTTGGGGGATTATGGTTCCCCCCCAGAGCCGTGGTTTCCTATGGATTAAGCGTTCTTGAGCTTAAGCTGCTTTGCTGAACATGTTGGGAGCAATAACAAGGGATGTGGGGCTGGCCTGGAGACTTGGGCACCATCCTGGTCCTGCTGTGACCCACCTCATGACACCAGCTCAGCCCTGCTGGTCCCCCTGCCACCTCCCAGTGCTTGTTCACACTCGACAATGGCCAAGCTGTGAGTCCACATCCCACTGCAGACCTCAGGGCCACCAATCCAAACTCTTCCCTACCCTCCAGTGGGTCCTTGACAAGCCCCAGTTGGCTGATGATGTATCGGGGAATATCGGTCTTTATTCCCTGGCCAACTTTGGCATGGCCTTCTGCAGCTTCCAGGAGATGGTAAAACTCCTCCGGGTCAAACTCCTGGATGGGGAAAACCAAACACAACTGAAGAGCAAGACTTCACAAAGTTAAACCTTTCCTCTAAGCCTTTCAGGTGACACCTGTAATTGGGGACAGGTTCTGGACGCTTGCAGAAGAAAGCTAAACCCTCTGCTCCTGTTCCTAGCATTGTTCCTGCATCATTCCCCATGTAAAGGCTTGATGGAAAAAAAATGTGGCCCCATGAGTTGGCCTTGGAGGAGAAATCAAGGAGAGCACACCACCAGCAGCACGCTTCATTGTGGCTCCTTCTTTCAGCTGTAGGAACAGCACAAAGGTGGGTGCTTTAGAAATTCAGCACAACAGCTAAAAAAACGCCTGAAAATGGATGAGAAAGCTTGCCAAGAAGTTCACATCTCCCTACTCCGCTAGGAAAAACCAGCTTCTCCTCTCTGAGAAATGGCTTTAATGCTAGAAATAGTCTTAGCTCCTTGCTACAGCCCGGGCAGGATGGTGAGGAACAGCGATTCCCAGGGTGAACCGTGCAGGTGGTGAGAAGATGCCTCATCTTTCATGGTCCACGCCTGCCCGGAGAGGAGGCAAAGCTTCATGAAAGACAAGATACATCAGGAGCTGCCATGTCTTACCAGGCACTCCAGAAGGCGAGCAGGACGGGAGATGATGATCAGCAGCTTCCTCACCAGCTGGTCGATAAACTTCACCTCCTCACTCTCTGAACGCTCCTGAGCCTGCCGGAGAGGAGACAGAAGCCAGGTGTCTATCGGTGGCCTCGGGAGATGGCACCAGGCAGGGAACTGCCCCATACTCACATCTCGGAGCATCTTCTCGAGTTTTTCCTGCAGCTCCATGAAGTAGCGGGAGGTGATGAGAGCTCCCTGGGACTTTGCCAGGCAGTCACGGGCCAGCTCGATGATCTGGTGGTGGATGAAGCCCAGCACCCCGTCTGCCAGAGGCAGAGTGCTGCTTGGAGAGAAGTTTCTGATGGTGTCCTGCAGACGCTCTTCCATTTGGGCTGTGGCCTGCAAGGCAGAATGGATGGTGATGCCCAGGAACACATTGCCCCCACACCATGCGTTGGGTCTGGCCAGCCCAAATCTCATGCTACCACCTCCCACAGCTCCAATACCCACGTGCACACCCTGGGACCCAACTTCCAGCAGGATGGAGAAGCTCCACCAAAGTTGCCAGAGACCTCTGCCGGCATGTGTGATAACGCAGACCCACAGGTCCCTGCCTCCCCCATTCATGACCACGTCTCCAGGTTCCTCCAACACCCCCTGGTATATCTACCCATGCATTCTACATGCCACAAGGGAGAAGAGGTTGTTCTGGAGAAGATGCTGTTGGGATGCCACAGAGGCACTAACGTGCTCGTCCTTCCCAGTCCCAGCAGTTACCTTGGGGAATCGCTCCTTGTAGACATGGTTCATCATCACAACCTCATTATCGAACGTTCCACTCGTCCGCCCAGGGCTGCAGAGGGAGGAAACCAGTTGTGTCATGAGGTCCAAGTGATTTACATCTACGCAAATAGCTACTAACCCTGGAGAGCAATTTGTTTCCTCCTCCTAACTCCCTGTCCCAAGCGGTTAAAGCTCATCCGAGTGGAGCCATCAGCCTTGGGACAGCACTTCCAGCAGCAGCAATCCCACCATGCGTGGATCTGGAGGTCCCTGGGTCCTTAACTTGAGTCTGCCAAACTCAAGTCACTTAAAAATCCAGAGCTGAGAGTTGGGTCCATCGATCGACCTGGCTTTGAGGAGTGAGCTCACCCTTTCGTTCCTCTGCATCCCAAAATTTCCCACCATCGTCACCCTTTTTGCAGCTCATCAGCAAAAACAACTCAACCAAACCCCATGGTGGACGCAAGGACCTTCGTTAAACAAGGCTTCTCTCTTACCCTCACCCCTGCCTGGTGATCCCATTATGCAAAGCAAGTCACAGGAGCAGCCTCGTTAACTGCTGTATAATAAATGGGGTGATTAAAACCAGACCCAAGCCGCTCGCTGCCAGCCCCAGCCCAGCCCCAGGTCAGCCTTTGCTGTGCCAGCCACAGAGCTGGCATCTCCTTGGTGAAGACTTTGCCACCTACAAAACCCCACCAGATAATTAATCTGACTTAAATGAAATTTCAGCTGGCAACACGCAGGGCTATGGCTCTGCCTCTGATGAAAAGAGGGTCGGGACCTTTTTCTGTAGGAAAAGAGAATTTAACCAAAACATCCCCTGTAAAAATCACAAGCTCCTGGTGCTGGACAAGCAGAAACGTGACCAGCAACTTGAGTGGGACATGGTCTTGGAGCAGCAACATGGAGCTCACAGGTCTGTAGGGTCAGCTTGATGCTGTCTCCAAATTTTCCTTTCTCCAGCCCACAAATGTCCATCCACATGCATTCCTAAATTTTTGCAGAAGCAAAGGCCAGGCTGATGCTCAGTCCCAGCAAACACAGGTGATGTTTCCCAATCCAAGCCCAGAAATGTGATTTTTAACCTTTTAATGGCAGGTCAGGCCAGTGGCCTCCCAGCTGTGCCCTGCAAGGATGGCCACTACTTGGGCTTCTGCTTGGCGGCCCCCTTCTCTCCACCAAAACCTTTGAGACAATTGAGCCAGAAGCTGCAAACCAACTATTTTGGACCAAATCCCACTTTCTCCATCTTCAACCCCAGGAAAACTCGCTCTCAGGTGTCATCTGCTGCCAGGAGAGCAACGCTGCATCCCAACAGCCAAGAAGATGCTGAGAACCAACCCTAACACCCAAAATCGTGGCACTTAGGATCATAAAATCTTAGACTCATGGAATGGTTTGGGTGGGAAGGGACCTGTAAAGGTCATCTAGTCGTCCCCCCCCTGCCATAAGCAGGGACACCTTCCACTAGATCAGGCTGCTGAGAGCCTCCGTTTCCAGGGATGAGGCATCTACAACCTCAAGCCATAACTTCTCCGTTCCCTGACAAGGGGAAAACCCGTATCGGGCTCAACACCTCAGGACGGGCTCAGCAGGACCAGGACATCCCAGGAACAGCTCACGAGAGGGCAGAGGATGCACTGGACGTGCCGGTACCCAGCACATCCTCCTGGCAGCGCCGTGGGTGCTCCCCACAGCGGGCGCCGTACCTGAGGCTCCTGGATCGTGGGCGCAGGCAGGGCGAGTGCCGCCCCTCCTCGTCCGTGACACTCTCCGTACTGCGGAAATGCTTAGAAAGGAAATGCAGCTCGTCGGGGGTGGGCTGGTACGGCAGCTGGTGCAGGCGCTCCTGGGAGGACGAAGATGACTGGAAAGAAAAATGAGATGCAGGGGATCAGGAGATGGCTCCATGCTTCCAGGCACCGGGGTGAAAACCAGCAAGCCCACGAGGAAAATATTCCTCAGAGCCTCTTAGGAGGCTGAAAATATTGATGGGCAGCACACTCTGCACTCAGTAACATGAAATACAGACAGCAAGGGCAGCCCGGGGAGGGCTGTGCTGCCCACTCCCACCCCAAACCCTCCCTGCTCTCCCACTCAATCCGGCTCCGCTGAGCCCCTTCCATTGTACCTGCAGCATCCTGGGTGGCTCCTGCCCATGACATGCTGGGATGCTGTAACACCCAGCATCCCAGCCCGGGGATGCTCTAACACCCAGGACGCTGTAATGCCCGGGGATGCTCTAACACCCAGGATGCTCTAACACCCAGGATGCTGTAATGCCCAGGGATGCTGTAACGCCCGGGGATGCTCTAACACCCAGGGATGCTGTAACACCCAGGGATGCTGTAATGCCCGGGGATGCTCTAACACCCAGGGATGCTGTAAGCCGTTAGCCAAGCTCTACAGCTTTCTTAAAAGCACATTTGGGAAGCACAATGCAGTTAAAGCACATGGTCCTCTAGGAATGGAGGGGCTGCCTAGGAACTGACACCATGAGGCTCAGGAGGCGTTTCACCAAAAATCAAGGATTTTGGGTTCTTCTCAGAAAGCAAACGTTACCGAAACAGTGGAGCTGGGGGTGTTGGTCCCATAGCCAGAGGAGGGTAGCGAAGCCAGAGACCACCTTCTGCCATCAGCCCTGCGAGTGCAAACGTGCCGATCACATACAGGAAAAAAAAGCAACATCTAAATGCAAATAAATAACGTCAGAGTGATAAGGAGGGGGAAGAGGACGCAGGTTTGGCTTGGATAATAAAGCCCTGAACCCTCTTTTCAGAAAGGACTGAAAGGGGGTGAGATGAGAGGCGTTTGCAGGTGAGGTGGGGTGTCCTGCAACCCTGGTGTGCAGGGCACAGGGACAGCAAGCAGGGTCCCCACGAAGGGACTGTGCTGGGGCTTGGTTGGGTGGTGAATCCACTTCAGATGGGGAAAAAAAAAAAACAACACAACAAACCCCAACCCTGTGAGAATCTGATTTTTAATTAGAGCAAAATTCAGCCTTCTGGGACTTTGTTCTATGAGAAATTGAGATTCTTAAAGATCCATCCTGAGACAACAGGCGCCGCGGCGCAGAGCCCGGTTATAAACAGGAAGGCAACCGCTCATACGTAGGCGAATGCTTCCTCTTGGAGACGTTTCTAATGGATGGGGCAACGTCCACGTCAAGACAAGGGCCTTCACCTCCCACCGCCGTTTCCCGTGCGGGGCTGAGGACGGTGGGAACTGGCGGGGTGCCAGACCCAGCACCACCGTGTGCCCTCGCTGCCGGCGGACTCACACAGCCCCAGCCCCGCAGTTTGGCTTTTTATTCTGTCGTAAGAGTGAAAAGCATCTGAAAGCCTCCAGCTTTTTTCCGTGTGATGATCAATGGTTTTAAATCAGCCGTCCGCCCCCATGTGTGCAATTAATTAATTAGTTAAACAGGATTTTGTGTCTTGAGCGGTGAGGGCTGGGGAGGGGACGCAGCGAGGTGTGTCTCCGTGGGGACTCAGCCGAGCATCCGTCCCCAGACATGGGGGATCCGTCCGGACCATCCGTCCCCATCAGACAGATGCTGAGCATCCGTGGGGAGCACCCGGAGCGGGTCTGAGCTGGTGGCTGGGGACAGTGGGGTGGGAACAGGGATATTTGTGCTCCTGGAGCTGCACGGAACCTGGTCCTAGAGCAAAATCTCCCGCCCAGGGATGCACACAAAGAAGGGCCGTGCCGATGAGGAGCGAACATCTCCCCAGAACGCAGCCCCAGCCCGTCCCTGTGCTCACCTGTCAGTCCGAGGAGCATGGCTGGGGTGGTGGGAGGCACCGGCCGCGGCAGAGCGGACAACACCAGGCCAAAAATCAGGGAGAAAAAAAGCCAACAAAAAAAAATCAAAACAAATCACTTGAGATCAACAGAACAGTCCCAGGTGGGGAATTATAATTATTAATGAATATTAATGGTCGGGGAGGGAGGCTGGGAGCTCACCTGCGGGCGAAGGGGAAGTTGATGGAGGTGCTGGCGGAGAAGTTGCGTGGGCTGTCCAAGGGGCTGCTCCCCGCTGTGGGGAGAAAGGGGGAAAAGTCACCCCGATACCCACCCCAGGGTGCTGCCACCTGTTCCTTCAGGAGAAAGGGGGTAAATCGCTTCCCAAGCTATTCCCTCCTGGGAAAGGCCCCCACGGCCAGGAGCCAGCCTACTGCTGCTAACAAGGTGCTGCAGAAGCAGCAGGGTCCCCCACTGCCCCTCCAAAGCATTCAGCGAATTTGGGGAGATTCTCTACTCATCCCCTGGGATACCCCTTACCTGTTGGCACGGAGAGAGGGGAGAGAGGCCGCGAGAGGGTCGGAGAGGGGGTGCCAACCACTAAGCTCTTCCTATTGCTGCTTCGGCAACTAGGGAAGAAAAAGAGGGAATTAATTTGGGGAAGTGAAAGAGAGAGACAGGGCTGGATGGGCTCGAGCACATACGGGTCTGCCTGAGCATGATGCCCTGAGCCAGGGGACATGGGTGCTGTCACCCCATCGACTATGGATCTCCTGCCGCAGGGAAGATCTGTCCCCGGTTCAACACTGCCGAAGACATACTGACAGGGTCATTTTTAACAACAAACTGTCTCATCGAGGTCCCACTTCTGGTTTTGGCTCGCTAGGGGAGGGCAGAGGCAGGCAGCCCCTTGGGCAACAACAATAGAAAAAGGGATGTAAAAGGAGGAAGTGATGGAAACGCCATGCGGCCACAACCTGACCTGCTCCATCGCGTGGAAAATGCCCCCCCAGTTCCTATAAGCCTCCCTACACTTGGTGGTCCCCACGTCACAGAATCCCAGAATCATTTTGGTTGGAAAAGCCCTTGCAGCTCCTCCAGCCCAACCATGACCCTCCCCCTGACCCTTCCCAACTCCCCCAGATCCCTCAGCGCTGGCTCAGCCCGACTCTTCAACCCCTCCAGGGATGGGGACTCCACCACTGAAAAGTGGGGAGGACGGTTGGTCCCCGACTCCCCGAGACTCTGCGGCACTGCTGGGCGTTGGCGATGCCGCGGCAGGGGCTGGCTCAGCAGGCAGCGGGGGGAAGCCACGTGTGCTGGCGCGGGGTGAAAAGCAGCACGCCGCGCAGGTCCCCGCTGACGGTGCTGGCACCTCGACACTCCAGACACCCCAAAACCCCCATCCTGGTGCCACATCCCAGCATCCTGCAGAGCTGCTCTGAAACAACGGGAAGGTCACATCCACAAGTGTCAGGTCTCCGTATCACCATCTCCATTCCCACCCTCCCACCTCACAAGATTTCAATCCTTCTTGCAGGAATTCCCTTTTTCCTTTCCTTTCAGCCCTTCTCCAAGCCCTGAGCCCAAGGCTACCTTGCAAGTATGGCCCGGTCTCGACAGCAGGCCCAGCAGGGATGCGGCAGCCCCTCTCCCACCATACGCAGCCCATTTCAACCCCGATTAAAATATGATCAGCTCATTTAAGTTCTCTTTCACTCTGCCAAGAGGAAACTGCAGACAGCCACAGCACAGAGCAGAAGTTCAAGCATGAGGACATCCTTCCCCTTCCTCTGTCTGCACTTCCTCAGGCTGCAAATTTTTCTGAATTTCCTTGCCAGGCCGGGAACGGGATCCAACATGGATGCCACTAATTAAAGGACATTGTTTAACATCACGCCGCGGCCAGATACACCTGCAAAAATCAAGAGGCTGACCCTGGAGCGAAGGGATTGTCCCCGGATCCCAAAAGGAGAAGTGAACAGCAGATGTGGTATCCAGGGTGCAAAGGAGGGCGTTTCACAACATCCCACCCCTCCAGATGGATGCACTTGGTACTGACACACAGCCAACGCCGGCGCCACGTGGTCAGAGCCCCACAAGTGTGGTCAGAGTCCTGGATATGGGGCCAGAGCTCTGCACGCCTGGCCAGAGTGTCACACACGTGGCCAGAGCCCTGGCCACGTGGTCAGAGCTCCACATGCGTGATCAGAGACCCAGACATGTGGTCAGAGCCCTGGACACGTGGTCAGAGCTCCACACACGTGGCCAGAGCTTCACACCTGTGGCCAGAGGCCTGGACACGTGGTCAGAGCCCCGCACAACCAGCACATGGTGACATCCAGCACCACATCACCTCCCACTGGCATCTCCCCCCCAAGGGACTCCTCCTGCTCCCACCCTAAAACCAGAACCCCCAACTCTTCTGCTGAAGACTGAAGGTCTTGGCCAAGACAGCGACCGGGGAGGCTGCTTTGGCCCCCCCCTCCAAACCCTCCTCTGCTGGCTGCACCCTCCCTGTAGCCAGGATGAGGGTCCCTGGGTGCCCCCCAGGACACTCACCCCCGACCACCCTGAGCTCACCCGGAGCTGCAGCGGCTCTGGAGGGCTTGAGCCTCCTGCTCAGCGCCGGAGCTGAGCCGTGATACCGGGGCCGGCGGAGGGGGGGGAGAGGAGGCAGAAACCTTTCCCCCCCCCCTCCATGTCAATCATTCACCCCCTCCCATCCCTGCCCAGCCCCTCCATTTGCTTTTCTGACTTAAACACAGGCTGAAACACCAATTGCAGCACCCACAGCTGCAAACTCACAGCCCAGCACCCACCCCTGGAGCAAGAGCAAACCGCAGCCTCTCGCTGCCGCCGGCTCTGCGCGCCGGCTGGGAAACCGAGGCACTGCAAGAGAACCCGCCGCCCCCCCGGGGTGGCACAGGCAGAGCTTCGGTAGCCAGGAGGGCTACAGAGAGCAGCCAGCTTGGGCGCCGCTTCGCCATTTGGTCCCACCACGGGGTGCATCTGGGTCTTGCAGGAGGGGACGTCCCCGGGGACGAGGAGCTTGCCCCTGCTTGTTTGGTTTCATTTTGGAAGTGAAAATAAACCTTTAATGTAGCAAGTTCCAGTAATGGTGACACAGAGGGAGGCCGACGTTTCCTGTTTCCGCGCGCTCCACCCTCGGCTCCGCAACCATCTTGCGCCACTTTAACCCCCCTTCGCCTGATGCATCATCTCCAGCTGGTTCCCATCCTTCCCGGCACGGAAACCTCGGGCTAGAAACCAGCTTCGGGGTAGAGACGAGCTGCCGAGCCCTGAAGGCAGGAGCTGGGGCTGGTTTCCCTCTCTGCCTCCATCACCTAATTGCACATTTGGTACCAAAAATGGAGTGGAAAATTGCCGTCAGCATCTCCCGCGCTGCTCACGCTGAGGCAGCCTAGGCCTCGGCGCTGCCGTTGCCATCCAGCACTTATTTCAAAGGATGTGGAAAGTGTGTGACAGCTGGTGTGACCCCGAAGCCTGGAGCAAAATAATGTGTCCCCCGTCCCTGAGGCTGCTTGCGAGGAGGAACCAGCACCTCCCAGCACCCCCACCAGCACCCAGCCTTGGCACGGCGCGGTCGGGGTGTCCGCAGGCAGGAGACAGCAGGATCTGGCACCTTCCCGGAGCTGTGGGAAGGGCAGGATCTGGCTGTGCAGCACGATGCTGATGTCTCTAACTGGGAAATGGCTCCGCCACGAACCGGGCAAGCGGCGTCGGGTGGCAAGGAGTCAGCACCGTGTGACACCGGCCACGCGAAACCACCCGAGCGTAGGCAGGGCCACCACCGGGAGACGCACGGAGGGGGCTGCAGCATCCCGCTCCTCTCCCGCAGGATCCGACCCCTCAAACTTCCCGGGGTGGTAGAACATCCCGTGTCAGACGCCAGCCCGGCGCTGGGCACCGCCAGCGGGTGAACACCGGTGGTTTGGGGCAAAGCAGGAGCAGGGTGCGAGGGCAGGGGCAGGAGCCGTGTAGCTCGGAAAAGACCTTTAAGATCGAGTCCAACCGTAAACCTCGCGCTGCCAAGCTCACCACTAAACTGTGTCCTTAAGCGCCACGTCTACACATCTTTTAAATCCCTGCCGGGTTGGTGACTCAACCCCTTCCCCGGGCAGCCTGTTCCAGGCTTGATAACCCTTCCAAGGGACAAGGGAGCGGGCGCAGTCTCAAAGGGCAAGCGGGCGGCTCCGCTCCCGCCTGCGTGATGAAGAGCACGGGTCGGCTCACCCAGCTCCTTTCTTTGCATGGCTGCAGAGAATATTTTTCCTCCATATTCCCCAAACGGAGAGATTTGGGGAAGTGCCGTGGATCACCACATCCTGGAAAAATCAGTTTCCAGTGGGATAAGTTTATATTTAACGGCAAAACCTGCCAAACCAAGCAGCCGCATCCCGAGTTTCTCCTCCACGAGTTGTGACGGCGCTGAACTCGGCTTCCTCCGGGGATGGAGGCTGGGCTGGGGGAGCCTGGGGACGGGGGGTTTGGATGGTGAAACGCAACACGCCGCCTGGCACAGAGCACACACAACCCCACCACATCTTCACAACCCCACCAGGCACCCGGCATCACTCTGGGGAGCCGCTCTGGCCCCTCGCCCCACCCCAGCACAAAGCCTGGTGCTGCGGATGCTCTTATGAACCCACCCCGGAGCAACGCGCCGGGCACCTCCCAAGAGCCAAATCCCAAACCCTCGCAGGGAATCACGGGGTAACGAGTTGGGTACAGACTTATTTATTTCTTCGCACTGCAAGAAAACATCCTAAAGAAACTGCCCCACGCCCTGGGACGCATCCCTGCACGTCCCCGTGCCGCAGTTTCCCATCAGGGGGTAGGAAATGGTACCTGCTACGTCTGCTGGCACGTTTTTCTGCGGTGTGCGAGGTGTGAACAGCCACGGGCAGCATCCACGGAGAAGAAAAGCCCCGTCAGCCATCGAACCATGGGCCGTCCTGCCCCGCGCCGACCATCTCAGCATCCCCCCGCAGGAAATGAGGATCCCTCAACCCTCCTAATCCCGCTAAATAACATCATATGCTTTCTGCCCACTGCAAAATAGGCCAGGCCGGTTCTCGACGTGGATTCTAGGAATACCAATGAGAGAGGAGCAAATCCGCTCCCTTCATGAGAATTACAGCCTCATCACGCTCAGCTGGAAACGGATCGCTGCCCAGATCATCTCTCCAATTACTCATCTCTCCTGCCCCCCCCCCCCCCCCC